AATGAGCTTCTATGCTCGTGGCTTAACCCTATTTTCACCTGGCTATATAAGAAATGCCAGCACAGCGCTGGGCACAGCTGCACATACAAGTCCTGCTTTAAAGCCTTTGTGAAATAATTCTGAAGGAGAAATAAGTCTGGGACATCTTTTAGAAATATTTAGGATAGGTTTGCTGCAGAGTTGCCAAATAGGTAAAGTGGAATGCTTGGGGTGGGGGGAGGGTGTTTAGCCTCCTGAGAATAAGCATGTTTAACCTATTAGTTTCACATTCAGGAGTTAAAATATTTATTTTCATTTATCTCAATTTTTTCATCTTTCTGGTGTATGACATAGAACAACACAACACCAGGGATCTAGAAGCGAGAGATTAATTTCTGAAAGCCATGTGTGGCTCATAAAAACAACCAACCCACTCCTTTAACAGATGCTTAAAAAATATATGCATGCTTCATTAGTCTAATTTGTCTGCTCAGAGCCTAGTCCAAAACTGCAGAAAAAGTTCCAAAACCACATCAAGTGTCATGGAGACTGCTGCGCATAATAATAAAAACAAACACGATCAGCAGGCATTAAGGACCTCAGTCTGCAGGCAAAGTCTGATTTCTGCCTAACGGCTGGATGAAGCATTTCCACCGACCAAAACATTGACACCACAATGTAATGTGCAACCGACTGCAGACAAACAAACCACAATCAGAACAGCCAATTCTCTAACTAGCGCCAAACTGTGGAAATATAAGAAGCTAGAAAGAATAACAATGAAGACTTCTGGAAAAGAGATTCAAATGTAGCAAGAAAGGCAAAAATACTCTGGAAAACACAAAAGTGTACATTAAGCTGTCAGTATTTCAATGTGGATTTGCAAGAGCAGTAATGTGAAACCTGTTTTTTATGTTACAGTAATGATTATTATCTTGCCTCCAGGATTCTTTGGTTTTGTCTCGTGTTGTTCCCAAGTCTTCCAACCATGCAGGTTCCTCACATGCTTCGGCAATAACTGAATCAGCAAGGTTTAAGAGAGCTTCAGACTGAAAGCCAGCTATTAAACCAGCAATGCGACCAGAGTCCATCAGACCCTCTGTAGATCACCTCCCGTCCTCAAAAGCCAACGACCCACTGAGATAGCTAAAGCCAACCTGTCTTGCTAAAGGCATACCCAGAGAAGAACGGGAAGCTTTGCTAAAAGAGGGATAGATGTTTTCTTGACAAACCATTAATATGAATAAGCCCCGCTACTGTCACATTATATGGGATCAACCAGAGATCTCGATTACTGGAATCTTTTAAAAAGCACCCTTAATCCAGGTAAAGCTGATGCACAGCTTCCTTAAAGTCTTTATGTAAGTAGACAAATAACCTAGCAGTAATTTGACAGTTTAGCTGGAAAAAAGGAAGTATCTTCTATCTAGGATGTGGGCAACACTAGGAAACAAAAAGCAAGCCTGCCATTAGAACCATGAAAGCATGAGAGTGGCTCTTACGTGTAGCTGTTTCCACCATGCAGAAACATAGCTGGTGGTACAACAATTATTTGGATTGTGATTTTGATGAATCTCCTCTCAACTACAGTTGTACAAAAGTAACTGGGAAGTGCAGCAGCTCCAACTTCAAGACCTCCAGCCATAAGGAAGCTGGAGGCCTCACATGAGAAAGGGCTTCCTAATGCCATCCTGAGATGAAAAAAACGCATTCCAAACTCAAAACAATTCTTAAACCCCAGTTCTGAGATATGACCGCATACAGCACAAAGCAAAAGCGTAAAAACCTAGAAATTACTAAGCTGCACTTTGGATTAACCACAATGTATGACCTCTCAAAACAAATTAACCCCCCCACTCTTTTACCCCCTTCTCCTCCAAGCTGAAAAAATAAGACTGATACTAATCTTCCTAAAGACATTTCCTTAATGGTAACAACAACTAATGAGGCAGAGACAAAACACAACCCTTACATTAAGGAAAATAGATTGTGGAAAAAAAAAAAAAAAAAAAGAAAGAAAATCACAGCTCAATAGTCCTTTCTTCATCCACAACCAGTAACAGATGCTTCAGGAGGGTGATGGGAACACCCCTTCCCTGCCACCCCGACTCTCCCTTAAAACACTAAAAATACAGTATTTTAGCTTGGGGTGGGGAAGGAAGCCATCTGTTGTTGTTCATCTTGGATAATGTCTGGATCAAGACTCAAAGCGTGATCATTTTCGTACACATATATAACACCCTCTCGCATACGTACACATGCTTTCAGGTACAGGTATGTGCACGGGTGGGAATACCTGCACACAGCCTTTGATTCCATACAATGTAATTTTATTCCCATAAACCTAAAGTATGCTATGATTGCTAGGAAGAAATCCACACAGGAACAGAATATGAGCAGCATTTCACTCACACCACCTGTATGACACAAATGTTATTGCTCACTGTTCCCTTCAGGGCACCAAATCCCCATCCCCCAGGCAAATGGAATACCCAAGACTGCATGAAGGCAGGCCTATGGCTAATGTGCTGGTCAACAACATACCATTGGGCTATGAGCCACAAGCCCCAGAAGTTCAGGAAAAGCATAATTAAAAAGGCACTCACATCTTTAGAGCAGCACATTTCTGTACCACCTCTTAATTAATGACTATTGAAATGGGTAGCACTTTTGGAAAACATAGACATCTACTTGTTCCCAACAATCTGTGGTGGTAAGTCATAACTACTGGAAGGTGGGAAAGGATTTACATATTGTACAAAATACTGTCATCTGGAAGTGCTCATTCAAAACCAGTCCACTCTCTCAGACAAGTATCCTGGCTCCAAAGGCAAGACAGAAAAAAAAAATAGGCACTGACTTCTCAGTGTCACTGTTCTCTGCAAATACAAAAAGATCTTAAAAAAAATACAAATATTCAGGAAAGCCAGGAGCGCTATCAGAGGGCTTCCTTGGTCTTACATTATTGCTTCTGATACTATGAAAAGAAAATATTATTTGTGTGTCTGAAAAGGTTCCTCCCAAAACAGCCAGAGAGTTTACTTCCACAGTACCAGATGTCACACTATTAAAACACCTCTATTAAGGATGATTGAGATTTTTATCGCAGCTTTGTCTTATTATGTTACATGTATTCTATTATGAATATTGTACTGGAAACAGAAGAAATATGTTGACTCCTTGACAGCCGAGAATAACAAAGTTGCTTCCCTTTGCCCTCAAGGAGGAAAAAAAATGGTATTATTTTCCCCTCTGAGAATGCTCAAGATATAACGGGCAAGAGAAAGAAATACTTAGTGAAAATGGTTTAATAAATCCCAGCAGAAACAAAGCATCTTTTCACAAAGTTAAAAGTCTGCAAGACTCCATGCTGACATTTGATGAATGGACGGAATAAAGTGTTTTGCACCTCATATGCCTTCTACTGATGGCACAAAGTCCTGGCTGGCACAGATGCTAGATCAGCATTACAGTTAAAACCAGCTCCCTTCAAGTGCTATTGGATCTGCATAGTATAAGGATCTAAGATATTCTGGAGTTCAGTTTATTTGAAGATAAACACACTAGCAAGATTTAAAACCAAACAAAGTAAGCTTTTCACTGTCTCATTTTGCTTTTAAGATACCTTGATTACTTGTAAATGCAGAGAAGAAGATAGCAGGAATAAAGGAATAGCTTAAGTCTGGGAAGCAGCAAGGCAATTAATTTTACTGACTAGAGCCTAGCATGCTCCCAAGCTTATTTCACCATGAGCTGGTTTTATGACAGCAACTGATTACTCAAGAGACTTTGTATAACTCAATTCAAGTGGCAAGCAAGTTCCTTTTACCTTAGGAGCTTTCCTTGATTTTACAAACGGATAAAGGAAACAAAAATCCACACTCTCCCACTGCTGTTCCTTCTTTCAAAAACAGGAGAAAACTCTGATAGAATGGTACTGTTACACACACACCCTCAAAGCCATACAACAGATTATTTCTGACTGCTTGTATTCAAAAAGTGTCTTTCTAGAATGATGAACAAACCTTAACATCTTTCATTGATGTTTACTGACCCAGGGACACAGCTCCACAAGTACTAGACTAGACACTCAAAGTAAATGTGTTATCCATTTAAGAAGTACATGAGATTATTTTCATCTCAGCAAGATATTAGTACCACTTCTCAAGGCATAATGACAGAAAACCAGAGCAAAACCTAAAGTTTAAATAGAAACACTTTCTAAAGACATATTCAAGCAAAACCAAAACCTTATTAACATGAAGTTTTTGTTCTGAGACTTGTAGTTTATGTTGGAGCAAATGTTCATGACCAACACAGTATGAATTTTGTTGCAGTTGCAATTAAAAAAACAAGGGGAGCTACTTTTGACTAAAGAAATGTAACACCAAGCTAAAGCTGATAGTCTGACCTTTCTCCTATGAAGGAACAGCTCACCTTATTGCTTGTATTTTAGAAGGCTGGCATGTTGATGGCAGCACTACAAGTCTGCTGTGGAGGACAAGTAGTTTGTGGCTCTGCATAATACTCAAGTCAAATTTCTGTTTGATATATGAAAACGTGAATTAAGAGCTACTGATGCTGTATGTGCTGTGAAACACACAAAGATCACCATGAAATACTATCAGAGGACTGAGGCTTTGTCTGTCAGTCACTCGCTGATCCCAGCCTGTCAGCTGTCACTCAGCTGTAAAAAGCTGTCCATGAAAATCTACCATAGCCTCCATTATCCCCAGTGTTTTAGCACAAGATAATAAAATATGTATTAGGCCAGAACAGTAACAAAATCATGCCTGACCACTCTTGTTGAGTATAAACATGAGAATAACCTTGAAAACCGCTAATTGGCTTGACAACACTTGGCTTTTTTTATCATTATTTCCTAGTACAGAAGGGTGATGAGTCAAATATGCTTAAACTCTCTGTTAAAATTATCAGTTTGCTTTTCTTCTTTCTATATCATAAACACCACCTTTGCATTAAAGAAAACGCTAAGCTTATTACAAAATACCTTTTCCCAGTCATTCTGACAGCAGTTCCACTTCTACCGAATAACTTTTTACCATACATTTAAGTCCTTTATTGTTCATGGTAACACCCTGTTTTAAATATGCGCAAGGCTCTTGAGTGATTTTGACAGGCTCATTACTCAATCTTCTCACCACGGGTTGAAATAATGACACCGAAGGGAAAATTTCACCACCTGGAACTCAGCTGACACTGAAGGAACAAATCCAAAATTCCTCTGGTATTATAAAGGGACCAGTAACATATCAGCTTCCCTTCTGCTTCTGACCATCTCATCCTATTCTCAAGTAAATTCCGGTTTGTTTTAAACAAATGCAGGAAAAAAGGAACAATACGAAAGCAAAACATATGGAAGAGAAAGAACCCACGATAAAAAAACAAAACCCCAAAACAAACAAACTAAATTTCTACCTGGCATTTTGTCAAACACACAAAGTCTTACTAGGAACACACTAATGAAAGAGCCAGTCTCACTGCTACCCAAGTGAACTGAGATTTGTCATATAGTATCCACAGTGCATATAATCACGTATGATGTCACTTTTGGGGAGAAAAACAGGTCTTCTAATGAGGAGATTAAGCTAAATGAATGCAGGGATTAAAAGAAAAAGGTTAAAATGAAGTACAAGCGCTCTTACTAGAGCGCGATTCCTTTCCAAGCTTTGTGTGAGTGGTCAGGAAGCAGCAAGCGGCAGTGCGGGCGACAGCGGGGCACCACGCTGAGCAGCTTACCGTGTGGCCAAGCCTTCGTACTCACCTGCCCCAGCATGTCTGGCGCGATGGGGAACGTGGGCCAGATGGCTGAGTAGACGCCAAAGAACACCAGCCAGAGCAGCATGCTTCCCCAGACGGCCAGGTGACTGAACTGTCAAGGAGTAGGTAAAGAAGGAGAGTCAACACAGGGCACTTCCTCCAGCCACCTAACCTACAGATATTTCTCTGTTCAGGTCTCTGTCAGTCTCACTTGGGCCTGTCTACCGCACTTGGTTTCAGGCCAGTAGCACAAGGTTGTTTAAACAGCATAAACCAGTTCTCCCTCTATAATCTTTGCCTCTCGACAGGGCAGACAGATAGTCCTCTCGGCCCATCTGTCTTACTTGGAGCCCCAAAAGTCATCAAATTTTCCCCGGAACTCTGACTTCTCTCATCTAGCTCCTGCTTCCCGTTGTGCACGTGCCAGGTTCAACACACTCATCAAGGTAGGAATTTTCAGATGCTCAGGTTAAAGTTCACATGGACAAATCCCTTACAGCAGAATGTACGCATACAAGCCATGGGCACCACTCACATACATTCCACGGAAGAAGATTCAGTGCTCTGTAATACACTACCACAATCAACACTGACCAACTTCACTTTTTTGTTTGTTTTAAAGGTGTTCTAAGTGATTTACAGATATGCAATGCAGTTTACATCTTTACAGGTTCTTTAGTCTGTAGACTCACTAACAGTAAGCAAAAGTAGTGTTAAAGTGACCAAGAACATGTCCAGCACAGACTTCATTTCAGTTGCATTTAAGAAAGTCATTTTTCCTACACACCCAAACTATTTTGCTGTTCAGGATGATTTAAGTTGTTTTACTTTTACACTGCAGTGGATGGAATCAGTAATTTCAGTTGTAACAAGCAACTGAGCTCATTATTGGCTCCAGCTTTTCTGGATGCCAACAACTCTTGTGGCTGATGACTTTGGCTCCAATTCAGAGAAGTACCTGCATAAATCTTAATTACTAATTACATATGGGTTTAGGAACATGGGAATGAATTCACACACTGGTTGCTGTGATGGACACAGTGTGTTTTGTTTAGTTCTCAGCTTTAACTTTCTATTTGATGATTGTATTTGTTGACTTTTTGAACAGTATGTCTAAGAACCAAAGAAGTGTCCGACTATTGTGTTCTGCCCGCTGTGAGACAGACACAAACTTCTGGAAAGAGAAGATTGCTCCTCCTCTGGAAGCAGTGAGCATCCTCAGAAAGGAGAGCTTTCTCCAGCACAGGCAGTGAAAACAAACAAGCAAGGAGTCTGCAGCACCAGTGGAGACTGGCAGATAGCTGGGAGCAACTGGAGGCTGCCTTACAGTAGAAGCATTCATACAGCAAAATGTCAGAGGCGATGGAAAGAACACTCTTCTAGGCACTCTCAGCTGGAATTTTGTTCAACCTAGAAAGTTGCTGGGCTAATGAGCAGGACATAGTATAGGGCCCCTCCTGGAGATACACAGTGGGCAGGAAGATTTGTTTTCAGATTCTGCTATTTACTCTGTTTCACCCAGGAGATCTGAGCAGCAACTGCTTTATTTAAAGAAAAAAACAAAAACCCAACATTTTTTTTTCCACTGTAATGTGAATAAAACTAAGAGACTGGAAGGCTTGGTTGTTTTGGGGTTTTTTTTGTTTTGTGGGGTTTTTTTGTTTGTTTGGGGTTTTTTTGGTGGTTTTTTGTTTGTTTGTTTTTTGTTTTTGTTTTTTTGTTTTTTTTTAAGATGTGGAGGAAAGAGGGGATTTTCTCCTTTTAGTCTACTTGCTCTTCTGAAAACTAGGGACAATTCATGTCAAGATTCTGCCTAAAAAAAAGCCCCGCCACAGTGAGCAACTGCAGTGCTCAGCTCCCCAAAGAACAAGTACTGCAAGGCTGTATTCATCTTAAAGAAAAGCCATCCCCACCCAACAGCAGAACAGCACCAGCGCTGCTTTCCCAAAAGGATGTGACACCTTCTCTTGAGCCAGAGCCTTTTTTCCAAACAAGTGGATAGAAGGCTCAGGACAGCTTGGACTGATGCTTCCAAGCTGCAAACTCCTACAGATTTTACAATTAAAAACAGTAAAGATAAAAAGCAAGAAGGGAAACCGATCTAAGATATACTCTTATATTGTAGGAGGTGTATTTATGCCAGTGAAATAACATCATTTTTTTTTGTCTTCCTCCTGTTTTTCTTTCCTGTCTGCTAGGACAGTTTTCAAGTTTTACAGCTCTTCATCTTGCCCCTTCCAGCTCAGCAAAGACTTTGCTCATTTTACATTGTCTTTATCTTCTTCTCATGGTTGTTCCAATCATCTCTTCATCTCAGGCTTGTACCTCCCTGAATTGCTTCTGTACCTTTAAAAAAGCTTCTGCTTTCAGGAAGAGCCCACTTTGCCCTGCTTGGAAATCTTCCTTATACACTCACCCCCCCACACCTTTGCACTGTTGATCGTCCACTGATCTCTATCATTTACCCCTGGAGAATTCATGTGCAAAGCTGAACTGAGTCCATCAGACGTACTGAATGAAGTCAGAAAAAAGAAATCAAAGTGCTCTCATGTAAAAATGTAGACACACTGTATGGCTATCCTGTGCACCCTATTTATCTGAAAGAGTTCATATGGTGTGGTAAAACAGCGAAAAAAGCTGTAAGCATTTGGAAGAATGCCTACTGCAGTGTTCCAGATAGGTAACATGTAACATGAACTCCACCACACAGCTCCAATGTGCGGATTTTGTTATGCATCATGTTACCACTTTTACCAAAGCCTTTCTTTCCACTCTACCTACTGGATATACCAGGCTCCCAGCCACTTTGAATCTGCATTATTTATCTAAAGCTTTCAGCTGAACCCGTCGTGTTCTCCCAAGCGGCAGTGGCCCTCTCACTCTCAAGAACAAATTGCATGTAACCAATCCACTTGATGATGGAGAAGAGGCTTAACTCAATGTTGTACATTTAATACTTTTCAAGTAACCAAAAGATTCTCTGTGTGTTGATTCACTCACAGCTGAAACAATAATTGTAACAAGCATCACATTCCAAGACTACGAGAGTCACTGGTCCAAGCAATGGGTCGGGAATCAGAAGTGTGTATATATAGAAAAAAGTTGATTCTAAACACGACTTTTCTGTGCATAACAATAATTTCCCTATAAAATGCCAGTGTTAAAGAACACCAATATCTACTAAACATTATGGTATCTTTTAAAACAAAATTTAGAGAAGAGTGGATCATGATTATCCCCAAGTGACTGGAAAGATACCAATTACCCAGGGGGAAGGGAAGAGAGGAAGAAGCATCAAGTCATTCACAACATCACAGGATCTAAACAGGCTCACATGCTTCCAATGCAGACTTGGATATATCCTCTTCTAGCACGAGGGATTAATTTGTTTAAGTATTTTTGCATTTTGAAATGTTGGTATACAACATAGAACTTAAGCATAAGCAACAGCAAAAAGAGAACAGATGTTATTTTCAGATGAGAGAATGAGGCAGAGAATATTAGCATCTCCATAATAATGAAATAACCCATACAGATAGCATTTAATCTTTAAAATTCAGAACACACATCAGCTCATTGATCTTAACAATTCCTTTGTGAGGAATGAAAGAAAACATTATCCAACTAACAGAAGCACTGAGGTTACAAGACTGAAGGCCAAGGCCCTCCAAGAAACTGGTAAAACGAGAATATGGGAGTCCTCAGAACAGCTTGGTCTTGAGGGCAGAGTGTCTTAGTATGCCATGAAAACTAGATTGCCGTAAGGTATCTTATAGGTGTGGATCAAAATCAAAAGATCAGTGTTTCAGAGGGGCTGGGGGAAAGATGGGGAGAAGGGTGAAGGTTCATCAACACAGGAACACCCTCCTATCCCTCCCCCATATTCTTTGGAGGTCACTGCCCTGCCAGATTCTGACACCTACCAGTAACAGAGCACTCACTCATTGCAAGTAAATGACTCAAACCTAGGAATCAACATAACCGTTGGACTAACATCCTTATTACTATAAGTTTCCAAACAATCTCATCTGATGTGAAGTCACCAGTGCTTTTTACTAGCTTCGAAGACTTTTTCAAAGCCCGGTTGTTTATCCGTGGGCAGACACCTTTCTTTCCCCATTGCATTATTTTTTAAAGGAGCTACAGAGTACAAAGATTACATTCTTGATCTATTTCCTTAAGCAATTACAGTAGTACATGGATTTCATGCAAAATTTCCCCAATTTAAAATATTTAGAGATGTTGGCAATATAGTTTTAGTGTTCTCTTCCCACTTCTGACAGGCTATCCTTTTTCATCACACAAATTGTGCGATCTACGAGTTCGTTCTCCTCTCACACCCTGCACTTATGGAGCTTAGCAGTTTATCCGTAACATGAAAGATCCAATTAAAACACTGACGCCTCAAATGATTTTTAGTACTTCTTTTCTGTATTAATACTCATTAGCACACCTCTCTCCCTGATGAAGTAAATGATACTGAAGAGTACTTACTCTAGTCCACGCAGTTGTTTCTAAGCCAGCTTTCAGACAAACAGTGACTACAACATACTGCAAGGAAAAAGAAATAAAAAGAAAACTTCAGTATTAACACACTCAAATACAAAGGTATTTATGGCCCAATCTCCCCTTTACACCTAAAAAGTTACTACCATTTAGATACCAACCCAGGGCCTTGGCTGTGTGGGATGGGGGAAGGATGGAGCAGAAGATACTATTGGTGCATGTCAGGGTGGGGAGGGGGAAAACCATGCGCACAACATAAGCTTGATTTATTTTACTTGTACACTTACTTCAGGTTTACACCATTTTCTGATAGTATAAAAAAAACTGTAAAGAAATTCTACCATTCAAAAATTGCTAGGATACACAAACTTACAGTGTAAACTATGTTTCCAACAAATAAATAGTCAATTCCCTGGCCATTTGTAAATACTGCATCTGAAAGACAGAAAAATTATCACATTTGTTAATCAGTGTATCAGCAGAATGGATGCAGTAACGAGGAGATTTTCAGGAGAAAATAACTGGTCCCAACCTTGCCTTTTAGAATGTCTCAAAGCACTTTTAAAAGCTATGAGATAATGGTAACGCAGAAGTTGTGCTAAGCCAGGCTGCAGACACAATGCTCAGATAACGCGTAATATCCATAGTCCTGGTTGCCAAAAGCCATCCCAGCAAAAGGGGGAGTGTTTGCCAGACCCTAACATGTCACTTGCTGGTAAGAGCTGAGATACATCAGTGTCACTTTTTCTCTCGCTACCTGTTCTGTACTAGTTATTGACACCTCTAACAGATCCCATTATTTGCTCTGCCTGTGAAGAGAAAGCCTGTAAAACACTCGCTGATTTGTGGTGCAATAGAGCTGAATTAAGAAAAGCCACAAGAGATTCATCTATAAAGGACACATGTAACATCTAAAACATCTCACTGGAGGTTAACTCGGTAACTGAGCAGCATTCAGTCTCCACACACCCTTTCTCTAGTCAAGCGTGCACAAGGGTAAGTACATGTTAATCTAACATTTGAAAGTGCCAACCTTGGCAATACTTCAAATGTCTGTTTAGTCTTTCTTAGCCCTTGTTGAATAAAACCAAACATCATGAAAGCACATTTGACAGCAGCGCTAATGCCAAATGAACTCGTACTCACGGGAGCTTTCAAGCATTTCTCAAGCATGGTAAGTATTGCTACTTTCACGGGTTTTTAAGACAATTGCTAGAGAAATACACAAACAGCAGGGATAAAAAAGGCTTAAGATACAACCCTGGACGTGTTCCTAAACACATACTGCCTAGTACAGTGCTTCTACTATGAGAGTACCACTTTGCTAGACTTATTTGCAAAACTGGATCTGACATTCTTAAACTAGGGTCATCTACTTAGTTAACCACGTTCCGGTAACATAGGTCTCCACGATCAGTAAATTTTTCAAGTAAATTTTTAAGTCTATAGAGGAGCCCCTGACACCTTGACCTCCGTGGCAAATACTCTGCTCAGCTTACGGGCAAAAAGACTATGTATTTAGTCAGCACAGTCACCCCAAGCTACTTGTTATGGCTCTCTTCTACAGTGGCTGCATGTGGATCTCTCCAAAGAACTGACAGATTGTGAATATTTTCCAGAAGTTGCTGGTTTTATATCCCCACTTTCTTTTCTCTTTTAAACTCCAACTACTAATAAAAAGCAGCAGATAGACTGGTCACTAACATTGCAACAGGAGCTAAAGCCTGAGACACCGTGGTTAGGAATTGGTTTGGTTTCTAGCCACGGGCATCTCTATCAGCCCAACTCCTCCACGGGTACTCTGTGGCTTCAGGCATTTACCACATGATTCACAAATACACATCAGGTTTTAACAGTCACTTTGCTCTTCCCTCTAGAGTCAATGAAAAAAGTGAAGAGCACTAGAGAATTGAGCTCTCCATGTCCAATGAACCCTGCTGATGCCAGAAGTCTCAGTTTCTTAAGAAAACGGCATGCCTAAATACATATCAGTTTCGATAGATCTAGAATAAACTGACTTAATGACTCTGCCAGTATATTGCTCTAGTGCAACATCACAATGCACATTTAAGTAATTGAGTAAGTTTTGGTGTAAGTCTTTTTTTGAAGTTACATTTTAATGCATTAAGTTAATGACTTTTTTTTTTTCACTGATTTCCATGACCTTCCACTTTGGGAGGCTAAGCGGTCCTGAAAGGAATGATACTTCTGTTAATGAGAACAGCAGGACGCTCAGTGAACATTCATTTCTAAAGCTATACAAGTGCCCATTCATGGACTACATGCACTTCACATTCTAAAGAACTCGAGAGGTTAAAAAACATCCCAGTGTGAATGGCACATTTTTGTCTCTGGCACTGAAATCCCTTTTTCAGTTGAAAATACAAAGAAACTTGAAAACTCAATATTCATTCCTTTTCGGAAAGCAAACTAAACAACCTAGTCAAAGGAACTCACAAATTTACCATTTGAGCAGGTGAGTATTCCAATCTGATTTCAGTTGTTGAAATTAAAAGTACATATCTATTTAGGAATTAGCTAGAAAAACATTTACGAAGACTAAACCAAAAAACTGTATTTTTCTTTAACTGTAACCACTACGTACATCAGCCTAAAATTTCTGAAGTTGGATTTAAAGAAGAGCTATTTGAGACTAACATTTCTTGTAAAAATAGTGAAACAGAACAACAGAAACCCCCAAATCAAACCAAAAAACCACTCAACCATAAAAACCACTCTCCCCCCAAACCGAACTGAGCTCCCAGCCCACATGCAGAAGAAAGGGAAATCCCTTTCCTGTATGGTCCACAAGACAGCATGTGAAGCTGCCACTAAGGATACAACGCTGGCATTTTACTCAGTCAGGTAGAGAAACATGAACCTGCCTCCCACAAATATCTTTACCATTATGACTCTGATGTGAGCATTCATCTTCCCCCTCTTTCCATTTTCTTTCACCTCCTCCCCTATTAATCCATCCTGGAGCTGCAAAAGTTTTCTTGAAATTTGTGTTTTCCAAGAAAGAGTTCAAGTTTTGAAAAATTCCCCCCCCCGCCACCCCAAAATTCCTCATCTGATCTAGTTAGTCCTATTTCTTACATTAGTAAGAAACCAGATTTCCCATGGTTTTTCCTGCCCACACAACTACATTGTAAAGCTAGGTAGGAACCATATGGGATTTACTGTTCCCTGAAATACCATGTAGTTGCATTACCTTTCATGGCAAGCAAGACTTAATAAGCCTAATTTGTACAACAAAAAGTCTCATTTCCCCAGTATCTCTGATTCTTGATCTGGTCTACTTCCATTCCAGCCAATTAATTTTTTCCACAGACTTCAACTGTAGTGAAATCTCTCTATTTTATCCTACATTTTATAGTACTGTGTTACGGAATGGGAAAGATCCAACAAAATATAAAGCAAATGGTTGTAATACAGCTGCTGTAAGAACATTATGCAGTAAAAAGTTGAGATCTCAACCCATTACCAAAGAAAATAAGGCACTGTACAGAACATCATTCAGTATTCGAGTAAGACTTTTTGGCAAAGCAGCAGTTTAATTTTTCACATATTAAAGTCACTATATGAACAGTAATTATGTTAAATTAGACTAAGTTCTAAAAGCCACTAGATAACTAGCCAAGTTCAGCAGCTATAGCCTATTGAACTGTCTGTCAGCATTATTTTCTTGGGACTTGTCACGACCTCCCGTTCTGCAAACACACTGGGCTCTGTAAGACTGAACATCAGTTACTGACGTAAGAAATAACGAAGCCCTTACCATGCTCCAGCACTTTCAGTGGAAACCAGAAGAGAATGATGGAATGGATCAGGGCATTGATGCAGTGACCCCAGAAAACCTGAGGGAAAACAAACCAAGTCATCAGTAAAGTCCAAAACTCTTGACCTCTCTCTAACTCCTAACAAACACTTCATTGTGTAGTTTAGAGTCAGACAATGTTTGTCCTGAACTGAAATACCTAAACTTCTGCAGGATCTATTTCCTCCTACAATTTCTGCTCTTTCATAAGAAAACACTGGTCCAGTTGGATGGTTTTATTCTAATAACTTAAAATATAATAGGCAAGCATACTTACGATTTAAGATCTTTATCAAAATACAGCAAGCTGATGGAGTCACCCTTCTTTAATTATCACAAGGAATGATTTTAAAAAACTGATTCACTATTATGAAATGTTCTATTTCTTTTAATGAGAAATTACTTTGTGCCCCACAATTTTTAGCTTACAGATAATGCCATTTTGCACAAACGAGAGCTTTACATAGTCTACAATTTCCTCTTTAAACAAAGCAATCACACAGCTTCCTTGATTCAGAAGTACATTTAGATGTGCCTGTTATGGAATAAAGACAGAATTCCAAATGCTGGCATTTTCCAGCATTTAAATAGCAAAATGAAGTAAAATGTGTTCTTCAAAACTCAAAGTCCAAATAAACCAATCCAAATTTTATTTTGGAAAAATAATTTGTGAGTAGAGTTATATTAGTTGTGAAAAAGCCCCCTAGTAGAGAGCATGATGACAACTTGTATATGAAATAAAATCCAGACGATGTTATCCAGTACCCATGAAAGTGGTAAACTCGCCATTTATCGGTAGTTGTGAATTGGGGGGGGGGGGGAAAAAAAAAAAAAAAAATCACTCAGATATAAATCTTACCTTGATTCAAAGTTTACGGATATGTCAGCACCAGTTTCAGTTCAAGTCATACCAGAGAATCCTTATTTAAAAACTAAGGCTTTTTTTTTAAATAAAAAAATATAACCACTTGAAAAGAACTGGGAGTTAGATCAATCTTAATCTCAGTGGCTAGCATAAGGCAGAAGTAACAGTGGGGAATAAATTATTTTCCGATGAGAAAGACCAGGAAAATAAGAACGCTCATAGTTATTCTTAAAGAAAAAGACTTTCCCTTACCCTTGTGTTGAACCCATCTGCATTTTGAGTGATTTTGTATAGCTGTGGAAATCTAAGCATGCTATCTTGAGTACACGATCGTTCAAAAATTCCCAGAGTAAAGGGTGGCAGCGCTGTGAAAATCTGCAAGGAAAGCAAATACTAATTAAAAGCAGCTATAAGTTTGAAGTGGATCTCAGATAATATTTCAGTATCTAGACAATAGCAAAATTCCCACAGACTTCAGCGAAGACTTATTACCAACTAGCATGTTATTTGACATAATTTTCAAATGTCCAAGTCCAAACACGAATTTTAGCAATTCATAACTCTCAAATATTGACTTATGAACAAAAGAAGCATGAAAGAAAATTCTTATTATTAACAAATTAGCTTAAAACACAAGCAGTTAAGCATCAGCATCTTCTGATCTACCAGCTAATCTAGTGAGGGTAAAACACATCAGACTGCAAAGGAAAGACAACATGTACTTTTTCAAAAAAGCCTTGTGGGAATGGATTCAAATATAGCTGCAATTGTAGCCATAATTAAATATGTAATATGCTTAACCAAAGCTAAGTTTACAGACAAAGCAAATGTGGAAATCACATTAAAAAAGAAAATGTACTGAAACACAAAGGCCATTCTGTGTTACGGTACTTTGGGGATTCTCCAAGCAGGCATGAACTGATAGGAACAAATTAACTGCAGTGTGTGTCTGTGCTATGGGCAGACACTTAGATGACCAAGCCTCGGAAGTTTTCCAGGAGAGACAGCAGGACACTTTGCCAGAAGCAGAGTAAATTAGCCTCTGCTGAGTCCCACGTTGCTGCTCTTAAAGCGTTTCCAGGATCTGAGGCAGCTCATTTAAAGCCAGCTTGGGTATCCGTATTTCTTGCAGCCTGCAGTGCAGGCACAGAGTGAAAATAATACCAGTGTTCATGTCTGAATACTAAACTTCATTCACTTCCTTTTACATTAACAGTTTATATTGGAAAAGTAATTTCTAATCCTATACATACATATATTTTTAACAGTTTGGGAAGCGTTCTTGAAGTTAAGAAGCAGCTTGAAGTTATGAACTGTTTCAGTGTGTGTGTGCATACTTGCAAAAGTTGGGCTGTGGTTCCCACCAGCAGTGAGTTGGCAGTCAAGGAGTAGACAAAGAGCAACACAGAGGACTAGAGACTAGCAAGAATCAATGATTACATCCCTAGATCCAACTGGGAATGTGCTGCTTTTACTCATAAAGTGATAAACCAGATGGTTAAAATGGCAGCAGACTGGGGGTACAGAACTGAAACTAAGATTACTGGTCCAATATACTCCAGAAAGGGCACATTCTCACACAGCTTTAAGGTATTTCCTGAGGTTTTCCATGTTTATTGGGGCACTTACATTCTCACTTGAAGTAAATCTTCCTAGTGTTTTTGTTTATGAAGGTAAATAAGTGCAAAAGCAGGAATTACAATGCTATTATAGTTTCCTACACTTAATATTTTAATGAGACTACTAATGAAATAAAGGGTTAATATGCGCAGAAGAGAATGACAGAGCTAAAACCACTTTAAAATCTAACCCCTTCAAATTGTGGAAGTCCCCAATATCCTATCAGCACTTGATTCTTAGTGTGTCTATGCGACCAGTTCTAATTTTAGAAAATGCTGACCTTACAAAACAAGGGTTAATTTCTACTCCACCAATTCTAGATTATGAATTTCATCCGTGAGCTTTATGTAGGGTAGGTAGATCCATCAAATCAGGTTTAAAGATAATAGATGCAAATATCTAAACACGAATGACAGAGACCGAGTAACAGTCAGGAAATTAGGGTGAAGAGAATCAAGGGAGTGGAAAATCCCTGAATAAGTATCTTCCATAAAGAACATGAAATCCTATGGAATATGAGGGTTTGTGCCATCATTTTTAAGATTAATGTGACAGAAGTTAAGTGTTTCCATTAATACTACTCAGCGATAGAGATAATTTGCTGGCTTTTCCTGTATTACCATATATTTGGAATGAGTCTGCTTAAAGAAAAAAAAAATTAAATTTCCTCCCTCCACAGAAAAATGCAAAGGATTTTTCAGCACTGACAAAGTGTCCTAATGGCTTATAAATCCAGACACCAGGCCCCTCATCAGTAACATTACAAAGGTAGCACTGCTGAAAACACCAGCACAGGTCTATGGTATGCTATGGAACTTAGTCCCACAGATCCTCCAGACTTTAATTGATGTTACTGATTAAATAGTATTATTGATTGAAGTGATAAAGCCATGTGGCATTCGGGCACTCTGCAGAGTACAGTGAAAATCAGAAATCACTCCTGGACTGACACATCCTGCTCTTAGTTCAAGTGAAAAATGCTGGTGACACAGCAATGCAACCTCCCATCCTGTAGCTAATGTAGCACAAGTCAACCCAAAGCATCTAACTGTTAGAGGGTCTGAGGGGGGAAAAATAATAATCAAAACTCAAAAGATTAAGACTCTCTATCTATTTTGAACATGAATAGTCAGCAAAATATATAGTACAAAAGACCAAAGATGCTTTTGAAGAAGAAATTAAATTCCATCTAAAAGCTGCAGAGTTTTATGGAGGTTATATTAAGCCAAATGTGTATTTTCAAGACGTTTTCCCAAATTTATTTTTGTGATAAAAACACCGTCCAAAATTAGCTTTTTCTCTACCTCAGGGTGGATTGAAAATGGCTTTTACAAATTAACTCACCTTTCCTAACGTACATCCAAGACAGTTACCTGTGAGAAATGGGACACAACAAAAGAACATACAAGTCCCAAGCACTATCAAGTCAAGATGTGTAGCACTTACCACATTATACAGACCAATGCACCATCGCTCAAACAAGATCTGCCCAGAAAATCCATTAACGAAAGCAAACCAGAGCTGAAACAAAGACAAGTTACAAGAAGCTTTAGATTACTATTGCAGTACATGTTTCCATTTACAATAGAGGAGAGGGATATGGACCGCAGACTAGCATCTGGAGACAGCTGTTTGTCTTGCTCTAAAAACCAATTACCAGCAGTGCCAGGCAGTTATTCTCTTCTGAAGTCTTACATTTTAAATACTGCCAGAGTACTTCCTATTTAAAATACAGTACTCAGGTGATGGAGTAATTTGCTGTATTTGCATCATTACTCAAAAAAGAAACAGCCTCAAACTATTTTAAAATCCTTACTGCTGGCAAATTAAGGTGCTTGAAGCCAGACACCAACCCAGTTTCCATCATGGTCAGCAAAGACCAGCATTTTCAAGGTAAGTGTGTTTTGATGGATGCTCTGCTTGATTTCTGTGTCATATTTTTACAGTCCCTGAATTATAGTGATACCAACTTATCAATTACATAATCATTATAATTATATTACAATTGTATTGTCTACATGTTGTAAACATTACTATATAATAAACTATCAATTTAATAAACACTGGAAGAGGTTGCCCAAAAGAGGCTGTGGAGTCTCCATCCTTCTACAAGTTCACAAAACCCAACTGGGCAAGCCCTGAGCAACCTGGTTTGAATTTAGTTTCACCCTAATTTAAGCAAGAGGTTGAATTAGACAGCCTCCAAGTTGCCTTCCAACTAAGGGGATTCCGTAATGCTGCAGTCCCAGTGGACTGCTGTAAGCAGCACTGCATAGGTAAACACTTTTTGGCACTTCCTTGGACCTACCTACCTTCAGACTAGTTTTCACCTTGTTCAAGCAGCTTTTTGAAACAAGAACCGCTTTACGGGGCTGGAACAAAGTTTCTTTCTCAGTCAGTGGGCATTGAAAGAAGCTTAGGGAAGACCATAAAAAAGAAGGGGAAGAATTATCTTTTCCCAAGTAAATCAGAAACTGCAGAACTGTCAGTCAGACCTCGGTACTGGGGAAGGTTATGGAGCAGATCATCTTGAGTGCCATCACATAGCAAGTCCAGGACAACCAGGAGATCAGGCCCAGCCAGCATGAGTTTATGAAAGGCAGGTCCTGTTTGACCAACCTGATCTCCTTCTATGACCAGGTGAGCCACTTAGTGGATGAGGGAAAGGCTGTGCACATTGTCTACCTGGGCTTTAGTAAAGCCTTTGACACCATTTCCCACAGCATTCTCCTGGAGAAACTGGCTGCTCATGGCCTGGACAGGCGTACTCGTTGCCGGGTAACAAACAGGCTGGATGGCCAGGCCCAAGGAGTGGTGGTGAATGGAGTTAAATCCATTTGGCAGACGGTCACAAGTGGTGTTCCCCAGGGCTCAGTATTGGGGCCAGTTCTGTTTAACATCTTTATCAATGATCTGGATGAAGGGATCAAGTGCACCTTCAGCAAGCTTGCAGATGATACCAAACTGGGTGGGAGCGTTGATCTGCTTGAGGGCAGGAAGGCACTACAAGAGGGATCTGGACAGGCTGAATCTGATGGACTGAGGCCAACTGTACAAGGTTCAACAAGGCCAAGTGCCAGGTCCTGCACTTTGGTCACAACAACCCCATGCAATGCTACAGCCTTGGGGAAGAGTGCCTTGAAAGCTGCCCGGCAGAAAACAACCTGAGGGTAGTGTTTGACAGCTGGCTGAATGAATATGAGCCAGCAGTGTGCGCAGGTGGCCAAGAAGGCCAACAGCATCCTGGCTTGTATCAGGAATAGTGTGGCCAGCAGGACTAGGAAAGTGATCGTCCCTCTGTACTCAGCACTGGTGAGGCCACACCTCAAATACTGTGTTCAGTTTTGGGCCCCTCACTACAAGAAGGACATTGAGGTGCTGGAGTGTGTCCAGAGAAGGGCAATGAAGCTGGTGAGGGGTCTGGAGCACCAGTCTGATGAGGAGCGGCTGAGGGGACTGGGGTTGTTTAGGCCGGAGAAGAGGAGGCTGAGGGGAGAGGAGAGACCTTATTGCCCTCTACAACTGCCTGACAGGAGGGTGTAGTGAGGTGGGTGTTGGTCTCTTCTCCCAAGTAACAAGTGGTAGGACAAGAGGAAATGGCCTCAAGTTGCACCAGGGCAGGTTTAGATTGGACATTAGGAACAATTTCTTCACTGAAAGTCTTGTCAAGCATTGGAACGGGCTGCACAGGGGAGTGTTGAGTTCGCACCCCTGGAGGTATTTAAAAAACACATAAAACTGGTGCATAGGGACACAGTTTAGTGGTGGACTTTGCAGTGCTAGGTTAACTGTTGGACTTGATCTTATAGGTCTTTTCCAACCTACACAATTCTATGATTCTAAAAATGATCAGCAGTTTAAGGGCATGCTGAAACAGTTTGCATGTCAATCACTGCACTTAGATACCAAAGGATTCCTATGAATTTGTGGCCGTAGTCCCTTTTAAAATCCACAATCCACCATGGCACTTCGTTCCAAATTAATTCAGCATTGTGTGTGGGAACATTCCCCCTCCCCACCCCCTTTCAGCACTTTTGCCTTGCATTTACTTTACAAGTTCACATTGCACTGGATGCACCAGATATTGCTAAGCAGTCAACTGATGCCCACGCCTGTTCCCTTCTCACTGCCTGAGAGCCCATGGTACTCACTGCCAGGCATCTCTCCAGACACCATTCTGTCACTCCTATATAGCAGCACTTTCCTACCAATATCATTTATTCTCTGGCTCACTTGTGCAGTATTAGACTCCTAGCAAACCACCCCACATAACAGTTAGTTAACTTTGTGTCATCGGATCTCCTTTTTGCTCCCACTCAAAAGGGATATAGCATAAGTCGGAAAGAAGATAAGAGAAGACAGCAAGACTGCTGGAAACCTACCACTGTTTTCATAGATGCAGTAGCTAAACAGACCAGGACTCTTCACCATGCGACAGAGGCAACTTAATGGAAGATTAAGATATTTACAAGATGGACAAGAATAACAAATCGTTGTTTAAATAGACAGTGATGCAAGACATTAGATTAGCAGGCTACACAAAAAGAAGTGAATGTTTTCACACAATACATGGTTATCTATGGAACTGCCTGCCAGATGATGCTGTGGATGCAAAAAGCAATGAGAAAAAAAGTAATGGAAGGAAAGCTGGAGACCAGATGACTCTGCTGGAGAACTACCACTGTTCACAGAAGATCAGAGACCAGGCTAGTTGAACTCTTATTCTGATCCTCTATAGCTGTTCTTCCATCTACCATATCACCATTGTTCAAAAATCATCATCATTCTAATGTACTCCCACTGTTCAAGTGAGAAGCAATGACACTGATCTCAACACGTTTGCTTACGGATATGCCTTGCACAGTAGGCCAGCTATTTAAACTGATTTCCTACAATTTTTTAAACCTTCAGCTGCTCTTTCTAGTAGGGAGTTTCTATCAGTTTTACCCTACATTATTCTGAAATTTGTGCTTTTCTATACCTGCTGCCTTTCTTGCAGCTTGTAGTTTAGAAGTGCCCTTGTGAGCTCTCTTAAGGGCCAGCGGTTTCATTCCATTTCCATTTAGTTGAAATGCATCAACCTAGCATAAACTGCAAATATTTCTCCAGTTTCCTGAAAAAAAATCCTCTTTCTTTTGCATTGTTAATCATGCATTAATTTGAATTAAATAAGCATTTAAGCATTCACCTCTCCAGCTCTGTCCAGAAAAAGGACAGAAGGCAGACGCATTCTACATCCCAAATTTTTTCACTTCTACTGTATTGATACCTTGAATGATCACTGCTCTCTAAATCTCACTCTAAGGACTCAATTAATGGCCCAAAGTAGCATACTGACCAGTCTCACACTTGGAGTGTTTCAACCAGTTGTATACCTCAGCTCTTCAAATGAAAGATATGAAAATCTTGGGTACAAAGCCTGAGGTCCCAAAAAGAAACCACAATTAATTTGGGGCCATCAGATAAGCAACTTGAGTGTATATTTTCCTAGGAAGAAACAGAACTTTAAGTAAGCATACTCCCAGACATTTAGCGATGATGATCTAGGCAGTGATCATCTCCAGGCTTCTTGCAATTAATTGCAACTATGAATGAGGGCAGCAATCCTAGAAAACAAATAGCTCACAAGCAGAAGCTGATCTGCCTAGCTGGCAACCTCAGCCGGTGCTCTGCTCGGTTTTCTAGATCCCACTGGGCGAAGCAAACTTCAAAGGTTTAGTAGCAAATGTTGAGGTCTTTTACGACATTGGCTCATGCTACTTAGGAAACCATTGCTTTGTGAAACCATAGCTTCCCACAACTAGTTTTCTAGTGACAGACATTTCTGATTTTCCATCAAGAAGGTGAAATGAAGCAGCCAGACTTTCTGTAGTTGGCCCATGGCTAGAAGAAAACCCTGAACCAGGCAAAGCCAATATCTTAGATTCACATTTCCCAGCAAAAATATTAGCAGTAATGAAGACACAATCATATAAAACTTGGAAAAAGCAAAGCTGTTAAGATGCATTACAGACAGCAGCAGACTGTCAAAGTGCAAGTGAAAAATACCCTCCCAACAAGCCAATTTTTTCTACTCAAAGTTCCTACCCTACCATAATTAGGTGATGCAGAATTCATTAAAGACCCTCCTAAAACCACCTTGAGATTAGTCCACCACTTCAGGAGAATACTGAGATGGATTTGTCTGTGGTAAATAGTTATCTAGCTGTCACCATCTTTAGTCTTCTGCAGCATCTTTCAACATTGAAAGATGTCCATAGAGAAGTTTTCTCCTTATTTCAAAGCTGCTATGATTTAGGTAGGCAAGAACTAACATTCAGAAAGTTCAACGTTCTGCTATTTCAAAAGCCAAATTTGAACTATTTTTCTTTTGGCAGGATCCATACAGGTGAAAATTAGAAGTGAGTACATTCCCAATGCTTACGTAAATCTGCATGAACGACACGCTCCAAACAGAGGGCAAAAGCTGTTACAGTTACGACGCACTGAAAAATAACGGCTATGCTTGTCTTTTCCAGAGA